CTCATCCTCCTCCTCCTCATCCTCCTCCTCTTCCTCCTTCTCCTCCTCCAGCTCCGCCTCCTCCTCCTCCTCCTCCTCCTCCTCCTGCTCCTCCTCCTCCTCCGTAGCCAGTTTGGCTCAAGGTTTTGGTTTCCCCTGGGAACAAAGTGGATACCGCTAGTCCGCGGCAGTGCCAGAGCGCTTGCGCTCGACAGTGATTTCTTTCAGCCAGTACCGCAGGGGCTCTCTGGCGGCCCAACGCACAGCAAAGACGTCGCCATGGTGCCAGCGCCGTGGACATGGAGTGGTAAGCAGCAGCAGGAGTCCAAGCAAGATTGGATGTGCAAGTTTTGCACGTTTCGTCGGACGGGGGCTCCTCTTATTAACTACAGGATTAACGAGAAGTGCTACAAGTGCAAGCTGCACAAGGGTGTGGCATTCAAGCGCGTCGCTCCCTCGGACCTCCCCAGCAGGAGCAAGCGCAAGGCCGACGGCACCAATGATGCAGCTGCCGCCTCATTCGCCAAGTTGGAGAAGCGCCTGCAGCAGCTGGAGGCCGAGAACGCTAAGCTGCGTGGTTCGCCTGACACAGGCGGAGGCGACGCGGCAGTGGAGACTAATGAGTCGGAAGAGCTACGGGACGAGATCGACGGCCTCGGCAAGCATGTGCAGCGGCTAGAGTCGGTCCGCTCCCCGTGGGCGGTGTTACCGCTCAAGGCTGCTCGTGAGCAGCTGGAAGGAGCTCGTCGCAATCTGTATGAGAACAAGCCCTTGCCCGCGAAACTCACGGCCTTGTCGCGCCGAGCTGAGCAGGCTCGCATCCGCTACCAGAAGGCGGAGCAGGACAAGGCGGCAGCGGACCAGAAGCTGCTCAAGGCGCAGGGGGAGGCCAAGGCAGCTGCTCGGGTGGTCTTGGAGCGCCAGAAGGTCTGCCTGCAGCTGGATGAGGAGGTGCGCGCTCTCGCATCTTCGCAGCCAGCTGAAGAGCCAGGGCAGCATCAGTCCATGGACCTCACGGGCCCAGAGATCAAGTTGGACGGGGCCAAGTTGCTTGCAGCGCTTGGTGAGATGGAGGGAGTCGCCGGCGCCAGCAAGCTGGCGCCGAAGCTGGCTGAGGTGCTCAAGTCCTGCGCAGCTGAGCTGCTGGAGGAGCCGCCCGACAGGCGAGCCCGCGTGGCAGCGAGCGGTGGTCAACCAGCGGAGCCGCCCCCAGCGGCATGGAACATCGACGCGATCGAGGTGGAGCAGCTGCGCGAGGATGTTGGCTCCTTGGCTGGCGAAGGAGATGAAGAGGAGGAGCTTCGAGCCAAAGCTCGTCTTTTGGCAGCAGTAGGCTTCAAACCTAAACGGCTACACAATCCGAACTATTGAGTGCCCCCTCGCGTCCTCGGGCGCGGTCAAACGGGGCGAAGTGCACGACAATCGTTTACGACAAGAAACCTGGGGCGGCCTGCATTTCCCTGATTACAGCTGCCTTCGCCTTTGCGAGTATCTGAACGGAGAAGAGGCATCGGGCGATGTGGTGCCTTTTCCTGCTGGGCAGCTTGCGGGGCAACGCGCAGTTTCACCTGGCCCTGGCGAACTTCATGAGCCCGTTCCTGTTCATGATGTGGAGTCGCTCGGTCGGAGTTCTACCTGCGCAGCGCTTAGCAAGCTTCAGGTGGCTGGTGACAAGCAGCCGATCCAATCGTTCGGGGTTAGCACGGAGTTCACGGTGGTGTGCTACAATAGCAATTCCTGGGCCACGGCGCAGAGTTTCATGGAGTGGTGCGTGCTGGACCAGTTGCTGCAGGCGGACATTTTCGTGCTGCCGGAGCTGCGCCTCACAGCTGGGGAGCAGATCCTACGCGGTCAAGCCTGGGCTCGGGCTCGGGGCTATCGGCTGGAGGCGCCACCGTGTGCGATCACTGGCAGTTCGGCTTTGTCGACGTCTAGTGGGGTAGGCCTGTGCACGCGTGCTCACATTCCTGTTGCTGAGTATATGCCAGCATGTGCACACCCTAAGAGCAGGCTTAAGTTCCAGCGCACTGTTTTAAGAGATATGCAGATTCTCTTCGTTTCGGTTTACGTGGAGGTGGGGGTGGGCCTTAAGCGTAACGTGGAGCTCTTGGGAGCTCTCATTGAGGCCGTTCGGGCCTCGTGCCTGCCCTTCTGCATTGCGGGCGACTGGAACATCGAAGCTGAGCTTTTTGGGGCCGACAGTTTTCTTCGGCACGGTTTCTTAAACGCGTTGCACGCGGAGGTTGTGCGCGTAGAACAGCCCACGTGCAACGACAGCTGCGTTGACTTTTCTGTGATGAGTGATGTGCTGGCGCCCTTTGTCCGTAGCATATGCCTTCGGAATGACACTCCCGTGGGGCCCCACAAAGCGGTAGTCCTCAGGATGTCGGGGGTAGGAAGCCACAATTACATTTGCAGGCGAATCCAGCCCCAGGCGTTCAGGCCCCCAAAGAAAGGGGAGGCTTTCGTTCCAGGGGACATCTCGGGCTGGCCAGGGTTTAAAGTTATTGCAGGGGAGTCCGTGGCCAGTCTTGCGCGCAGGTGGTTTTCCTCCGCTGAGCTTGATCTGTGCATGTACACGGCGCTGCCTGAGTTTGACAGGCCACGTTATGCAGGTCGTGCTGCTGGCTGCCGTCTGGAAAAAGTGTCATTGTCTTGCGCCTGTGGAAAAAGTGTCCGAAGAAAGGCCAGTGCGTTAACTCAGAAGTGGTTAGCGCTTCGCAGAGTGACAATGCAGTGGCTCCGCGCGCAAAGACTCCACGGCCCCAGACAAGGATGCTGCGATCAGCAGCGCTGTTGCGCGCATGGAGGAGGCCGGTAGCGTTTGGACGGGTTCGGGGGGGAGGAGGCTGAGTCGACTCAGGAGTCTGTGTCACCAAGCTCGCATGCCACCTTCCTTGCTCGTCTTGAGGATTCCGACTCTCGCGTTGAGGTTTGTGACTTGCTTCAGCGCCGTGTGCAGCAGCAAGCGAGCAAGGATGCGCCGGCGGCTCGACAGTATTGGAAGGAGTTTTCAGAGCTCGCGTTCCAGAGAGGAGGGAGTCTTGCTCATAAGTATCCTCGGGGCCCTCAGGGCAATTCCCAACCAGTGCTTGCTGACTCGCTGCCCGTCGTGGGGCATGAGGCCCTGCAGGCCATGCTGGGGGCTTGGGTCTCGCTTTGGAAGCTTCCGTCCAGGGACCTGGAGCCCCACCCCCTCTCTTGGGATGTTTCAGGCGCGGCTCCCCTTCCCGACCTAGAGCCAGCAGCGGTGCGAGCAGCCCTAGGGTCGCTTAGGCCCAACACTGGTCTAGGCTGGGATTCCTTTCGCCCGAGGTGGATTGAGAAGTTGCCTGAGGCTCTCATAGGGGCGTTGATCCTGATTTTACATCGGTGGGATGCTGAGCCAGAGCTCACTGACATATGGCTCATTCTCATCGTCTTCCTCACCAAACCACAAGGGGGGGAAAGACCCATAGGCCTGCTGCCCTTGTTTGCTAGAATATGGTCTAGATTGAGACACAAGCAGGTCTCCAAGTGGGAATCCAAGTTGCCCGATCGGTTTTTTTTCTGGGGAGCCTCTAGTGAGACCTCATGTGACAAGTCCGCCTGGATTCACAACACCCTTGCGGCTGTGGCTCCCCAGTTAGGCTTTGTCAGTTTTAGCGCGTTTGTGGACCTCCGCAAGTTTTATGATATGGTCAGCCACCAGGAACTTTTGCGCGCTGCCAGGGGTACTGATTTTCCCCTGGCACTTCTGAGGCCCTTGTGTGCCCTGTACAGAGGCCCGGGGGGGGCCGTGTACCAACAATCGGTTTCGGAGGTCATTAACGCGAACGGGTCCATCATAGCAGGTTGCTCTTGTGCAACAGGGTTGGCTAAGTTGATGACGATCACTACGCTCAGGAGCATAGGGGTTAAGTGTAGCCTTATCAGAATCAAGAATTTGATCGACAATATCAGCTTACATGTGATAGGTGGGCCCACTCAGGTTGCAGATCAGGCGATTACTGGTCTAACGATGCTGTTAAGAGGCATGGAGGACCGCAGGCTCCCGATTCCGCGGGGCAAGTGTGGCCTGTTGTGCAGCGATGATGCAGTTTTCCGCCAAGTGAGAGCGCATGTGCGACATCTTTGGCCAGAAGATGTTCCTTGTCCTTGCCCTGGTCGCGATGCCTTTCATAGAGATCTAGGGGGGGATGCCATTGACGGAAGGATGAGGAGGACAAGCACTCAGGTTTCGAGGATCCCTGAGGCTCTGCAGCGAGGGGTGCGTGTCAAAGCTCTCCAGGGACTGGGTCGTCAAAAATCAGCGGTGCATCGAGCTGGGGTCCTGGCCAAATCTCTTTGGGGCTCCAGTATCCACGGTGTGGCAAGTTCGAGGATCCAGCCCCTTCGCATGTCGTACTTGAACGTTGGCAAGTACAAGCCAGGCGCGTCTGTGGGTCTGTCGCTGCTGACGGCAGAGTGCGGCTGGCAGCAGGACCCCTTGGTCATTGCGACGGTGGACGCGGTCCACACCTTTGCTGTCGTCATGAATTCACAGGCCGTCACATGGGCGGTCGTGGACAAGTTGCTCAGAGAAGCGAGGCCGTTGCTACTGGATCCACAACGCTGGGCCAAGTGCAAAAACCCGATTACCGCGCTTCTCCTCTCGCTCCGCAGGATTGGGTGGTCTTGGGAGGACCTCCACACCATCAGAGATGACGATGAGCAGCTTTGGGACTTCAGGACCACTCCGCCCGCCCTACTCAGCTCGATGGCCAAGCATGGGGTTCGGAGGCGCATCGATAGGGAAGCTCTTCACAGGCTCGCAGATGGTGACTCACGAGTCCCTCAAGGCCCCTTATCGTGGATACCCATGAACGAGGTTTTGCATTCAAAGCGCAGTAAGCTACCGCCAAGGGAACGAAGGCCTCTCAGGGGCCTGTGCTCGGGGGCTCACTGGTGCCAGTACAGGGTCTCGAAGTCCTTCAGCGGGGAGCCCTCGGTGTGCTTGAGGTGCCAAGGTTGCCCAGGCACGTTCTATCATAGGTTCTTTGAGTGCGACGCGTACCTCTTCTTCAGGCAGGAGCGGCTCCCGAAGGAGCTCTACAATGCAGTCAAGCGTATGAAGCAGGCCCCAGAGGCCCTACAGACTCTCTTCTGCCGTGGCCTTCTTCCTGACCCTGCTCAAGCCTTCGCTTATCCGAGCGGGAACCCAGCACACCACTACTATGGCATGGATCGTAAAGGAGTTGTGCATGTTGAAGGAGACTTTGTTTTCACTGGCGGGGGTGGTTTCTATACGGACATACCGTACATGAGAAGCGCTGGGTGGTCAGTTGTAGTATATGACCATGAACGCAGGAGGGCGGCCAGATACTACGGTGCAGTGCCAAAAGATATGTGCCCCCTGCAAGTGGCCAAGTGTGGTGGGGACTACGCGACGTTGATTGTCTGCAGGCAAGTTCTTGGATCATACACGGTGCTCTCAGACTGTAAAAGGCACGCTGTCTTACTGTCGTTCGCCTTGCCTGGCCGTGGGAGCGGGCAATCCAAGAGCTAATGTGTGGAAGTTGATGGCTCAGAATGAGGAGTTCCATCGGCAGGCTTTCAAGCATGTGAAGGGTCATGCAACATCGACGGATGTGTTTGGAGGTGTGTTGTCTGATTTTGAGAAGACGGGCAACTCCACGGCGGATGCTTTGGGGAAGCGTGGGGCCGCATATGATATGCCAGAGGATGAGCACGTGGATTTCGTTCGTGGCTGCAGAAAGTTGCACAAAATGCTACTGCAGTACCTTGTGAGTTTTCAAGCATGGCTGTATGATTGCAGCGCTGAGGGCCTGGACTACCATTTCCCGTTGAAAGAAGATGAGGAGCAGGAGGCCCCTGTTCAGCCGTCCCTGCCCGTCATGGAAGGCAATGAGCCCCTTTGTGAATTGGTCCTGGAAGACAAGCTTGATGGTTTCCTGGAGCCATGGCATGTGGTAGGACACAGCCTCGTGGAATATCCGATGGTGGACTCGCCACACTTTTGTTATGTTCCACGTGCTGTCAGTATTTCTGTTCAGATTCCAAGAATCATCGAGGGCTGGCTCAGAAGTGTAAAGGCACGCACGGAGGTGGCCGTGGAGTGGATGACCGACGGCACTTTGATAATCTCAGGCATCCACAGGCGATTCGAGCTCATGTTAGGCTCGAGTCTCCGCGGTCGCCATCAGGGCCAGCACGGAACATGGTCAGAGTGACCAAGAAGTGGGAGTTGGAGTTGAGCAGCAGCGCCGTCCAGACCCCAATGAAGAAGCAGAGGCTCCTGGACACATCACGTATTCTCCTGGCGTACGGGCTCGAGTTTCGTGAGGCCGTGGGGCTAGGCCACATTCCCGAAGATGATGATGACGACCAGGAGTCAGAGTGAGTGTGCAGCCTGGACTGTACACCGATTTGGAGCCAAGATGTGGAGTTTGATCCTCGGTGACTTCCGCAACTTGTTCTGTTTTCAAATCCTGTGCCCTTGGGGCGGCAGGTTCATTCGTCGCCAGGCTGGTGACTTCCGTCCGAGTTTCTTGCGGTTGCAGCGTTGCTGGCCCTTGAATTCTCTAAGTGGCGGGAGCGCCAGTCTGCTTTGCCGTGGTTCGATCGAGACGCTGTGTTTCCGCGTCCCCTTCGATTGCCACGTCGGCGGCGTTTTTCCACGTGGTCATGACGTTCGTTGCCCTGGCGCTGGGCTGGGTGTGGTGGCTGCACCAGCTCAAGGCGCTGGGAGCCCTCGAGGAACTCTTCGTCGCCTCGGCGGGCCTCGTGCGGGTGAGCACGGGCCTGCCGCAGGCCCCGTGCTCCCTGGCCGCCCGCGGCTGCTTTGAGGTAGGCACGTCCCCCACGCCCCGTCCTGGCGCTTGCAAGGTGGTCCTGGCCTTCGGGCTCCACCGTGCAGGCGCTGGGAGGGGGTGGTGAGGGTTGTGCCTCCCACC